ACAAAATCTACAAAATTACGCCAATTTACTGGCAACGAGTCATTAGACTCAACGGTACGGCTTAACCATCCTACACAAACGTACTGATTTAGGTGTCGACAGTCCTGGACACGACTACTATGAATGTCGTAGGTCAAGCAGCGAGAGAGTGTGAGTGGTGATAAACTACGTGGAACTTGACCGGCCTACATACGTAACTTATGAAAAAATGTATTATGTACTTTTCCACATTTCCTGCAACCTGAAAATTTTGATACTTGGTTTTGCATGCAATGTATTCGCGTCTAGTTTTGTTGATATGACGAGAATCATAAAATTTGCATTGTTACCTAAATTTTCCAGCGCTTTCATGCCTACTAAATCGATGATGAAAATTTATATAAATATATAAATTTTTAGATTGTCCGCTGATTCCTCGATAACTGGTTTTATATCATAAATAGCTTTTGTATGATATTGAACCAAAATCCGTTTCGTCCCGTCCCTACTGTGCCGCGACCCAACTGTGCTGTGTTTTTTAATTTTTTTTTTTTTGATAGATAGGATGGTTAAATGGGGTACTTTTCCTCTCCTTCATTTAAACTTGAAGGAGTCAAGGTTGACTTGTAATAAATAAATAATAACACGGCGATTAATACTAAATATTAGTGACAACATAATTTATATTAATACATCCATAAGGAATTATATAAAACAAGTGCGCGATATGTTTCCGTAAGGAAGTCAAAAAGGTAAATCATATTCATCAAAAAAGTTATGGCCGTTTTAAGTAACAAAAGTTTGAAAAATATCGATTTTAATAATGGTATTTTTTTCAATTTTTGTTAGTAATGTTATAAAATTAATGCATTTTGTAATCTTTTATGTTTCGTTATGAAAAAACCGTCTAGTGAGAGCAGAGAAAAAGTAGTGAAAGACACACACAAAAAACCTATCATGGTATAATTAATATATTCTCAGCTTTGCATCGAAGCAAAATAATATTAAGTATATAGAATTAAAATATAAAAATATAATTATATATTATAGCATAAAAAAATAAATTTATAATTGTATATGTATTAGTAATTTATCATATTAGGCCAGTCAACGAAGGAGTAATTTTGGCGAATGGTGGAAATAATTCCCAAACAAATTTTTTTTTTTTTATAAAGTTTGTAACGTCACAAATTCGAAGGTGGACCGTTTATGATTTTTTGTTATGTCTACTTATTTATTTTATCGCGTGAAAGAACCTTTTTCTGACACAGCGGTGTCAACCACTCATTATTTTTCCGCTGACCGCTAGATAAGGTGATGAAAGAGAATATAATTAAAATCGAATTGTTTATCAGTATTGATCCCTTCTAAAAAGACTGGCCGTTATCGATTTGAAATTGCCGTTAGATCGGTGTTGACTCTTCTCCATTTTTTTACTTCTGTCATTGACCGTGCTAGGGTGCACACATTTATTTTTTTATTGACACTTTTTTTTACAATGATGGAGTAGAGCCGCCAACGGCGAACGGCCAGGTCTTTTCGACGAAGCATCCAGACTATCGGATGGGTCTCTTCGGAGACCGGGTATCGTTTTCTTTTGTATATTATATTTGTGTAATGAGCTATATTTTATTAATTATTTTATTTCATTTT